TCCCTCCCTCCCTAACCGCCGCGCCAGCACCCACTGACTCACAATCTGCCCGGCTGTCAACGAAGTCAACAACCCCATCTTCCCGGTGTGACAGAAGGCACACGCCATGGCACAACCGCTCTGGGAGGAGACGCAGAGGGTAAAGCGGGGCCTTTGCTCCGGCCCTCGGACCATGGGGATCAGCACGGCCTCCACTGCCTGGCCCTTCCCCGGTCCGTCGGTCACTTGCATGACCAATTTCTGCGTCCCGTCTCCGGCAATTTTACGCTCCAAAAGGCGGAGGCCGTCGTCCAAGGTGGTAACAGCGTCCAGGGCCTGGCAAAGCCGTCGGGAAAGGCAGCAAGCGGCAGAATTCGTTCCGGAGGCAGCTGCTTCGAATATGGAGTTTGAAAGCATCAAATCCCTATGATACAGCCACTTAAACACGGCAAACGCTTTCTGGGCCGGGTCGGGGTCCACCTGCAAATACGTGAGGAGGGTAGTGATGTCCGACAAGGACATTCCACGCAGACGCAATTTTCCTCCCGCCTCCCTAACGCGCTCGACATCGGGGAGAAGGGTGGGAGGGAGAGGAAGGGGTTGCGGGATGGAAACAAGGGCAGGGGGGCCGCTTAGCCCCACGGTTGCTGTCGAAACTGTCGCATATGTGCTCGTCCATCTTGTGTGTGGCTGTCGATGCTTTTGATGGTGATTATGAAAGAACGAACGCGGATGAAAGCCGAGGCTGGGTAAGAGCTGCGCTGCAAAGAAGGTGGAAAGGATTAATAAAGGAGGGAGAGAGGTGCCATTTCGTTTGCCACGCCCCCTCCAACACCCCGTGGCCATGCGCTCCTTTCTTGCGTAGCGAGAGCCACCTGGAAGGATGTTGTGGGGGATGCCATCGAGATACACAAACGTAAATCGGGTGGGTACGAGCCTGGATATTACTTTGTGTTGAAGTGGTTTGAAGGGAGGGGGATGGGAACGTAGCCGGCGGCTTTCCCCCCTCCCTTTTTATAAAAACATGTTGAAAACTTTAGTTTGTATCATGGTTTTGCCCATGCACAAACACGTGGACAGCGCATGATTCTATTGCTAGACATGAGCTTGAGGGTCTTGATGGAATTGGCCTGCCTAGATGTCATATTCCGGTTATATGTACTTTCTCATTCGCTTTACTCATCTTTTTATTCTTGAGAGGTCCCGCCTTGCGAAAAACAAAACCTCACGCCAATTTGGGAACAGTACCCTTCACACTGAGATTTGTGGAGTTGTTTGCTTAATTATTCTTCTCTCTCCCATGCGTCCCACACCACTTTTCTTACTCTTTATCGGAGCCCACATGCTGCTCTCAGAGGCTGTAGTGCGTGTCCCTCGGGGCTTTCAGGGAGCCCTCATTTGATTTCCCCCCCCTTCTTCTAGTTCCTCTTACGTGTGAGACAGTGCACCTCTTTGACTTAATTTTACTCGCTATCGAGACTTTTGTTGTTTGCAGAAGGACTAAAATTTGAATGAAACGAACTGCCATGGCTGTGACGTCTTTCACGGCTTTGTATGACTTAAGCAAGGGTGAGCGCGTCGTGTCAGATTCTTAGCACACGCATCAGAGTTTTACGGAAGCCAATCATACTGATAGCCGTTCCTCCCCAAAACCAAAACAACGCGCCACGCACCGACGTAAGTCGAGCAATTAAAAAAAGTGTTCGGAAGTTTTATTAATCCTACCATTCTACGTACATCCACGCCACTTCGCTCGCGCGGCACTCGCTGCACGACAAACATTACTGGCGAAAATGGTGCCCTATCAAATTCTACACTACACTCGGCCTGCCCCCTTCTCCACCCCTACTTCCCTTCCCACCGGACCGGCACCTGCCTCCGCCACGGACATGCCGCGCGCACTTTGCACGCAAGGATGATGACTAATTACAGTACACGCACAGACGCGGCTCCACTTTCGTATAAAATGCATGAAACTGTGAGGGTGTGGCTGATTTTCTCTCTCCC